ATGGGAAAGCCATAAAATGTGTAATGTCTGGGACAAATGATTCCTTATTTCTCTTTCTGCTCTTAAAAAAATATCTGTTTTAAAATTTGTAAGCTGTAACCGTAAATTCTTAAGTGCTTCTTTACAGATCTGTTTTTGATAAACCATCACCACCTTTTGCCAAATTTCTACCTCTTCTCTTTCGGATGGCTTTACCTTTAATGCTTGTGACTGGCTTTAGTTACTCAGAAGCTCCTTATTTTTTGTGTTATAGACATTTGGCAGTCGCACATTGTTATGTGCATATCTATGTTTTAGACCTCAGCTGTGCGCTGTAAACACAGAGTGTGCGCATGCATGGCTGAGCGCTTGGCCAGACGGATTGCGTGAGACTTTTTTACTGCGTCTGCAGAGCTTTTAAAAAAAAAACATTCGATAAACAGATTGTACCGGCCTGTGGAACAGGGGTAATGTCTGATTCTGATCGTTTTGAGTGTTAAGACGCCTGCTCAGAGCGAGGCACATTGTTAAGAACGTCTAAATTATCCTTCCCACAATACCACAACCCCCAAGAAAGGCTCAGCCATCCGCCCCCCTACCACCACCAACGACAGCCAACTATTCAACAACTAACCAAGTTGGCTGTATACCACCAATGCTCTCAGTCGCTTTCTGTTTTTGCCCCGTTTGTCTGACTCTCTCTTTCTTACTCTTGGCCTCCCTGCTTATGTGACTTTGACTTGTGATCATGTTTTTCCTGGAGGGGGAAACGGCTACATGTGAGAACTAGGAGGAAGCAAGTTTTTTAGCGAGCAGAAATACAGATGCTCACACAGACGTGACTAATTACCCAGGCTCACTCATGGTTTTTGGGACTGCACATCCTTACGCGGCAGTAAAATAAGATGGCAACCGCAGCGCTGTACGGCTCTCTCGGTGGCAAAAAAGCATAACACTACGCTATACACTGTAGGAGGGCTTCAAGGCCGGAGCAAAGCCCCAAATTGTCCTGCCGGAGCCCAGCAGAGCCCTGAACAGAAATTCCAGTAAGAATAACAATAAAAAAACGAAAATCGAAAATGATAAAAGAGGGAAACGCCAGTGAACCACAGTGAATTAGGCAAAGCAAACAGGCGCAGAGTGCCCTGTTTGGAGTCTTGCTGATTGGGAAAACACAGCGAGTCTGACCGTGTCTGGCTTTTTTCTCATCTCTCTGGCCAGCTAGTGTAGGAGCTGCAGTTGGACCAGGTTCCCTGCAGATGTGGTTTAACATGGATGGACATGTGCTCTGCCATACTTTTCTTTCTTGATTTCCACGGATCCAACACAGGCACAAACTAAATCTTGTTAACTTGGCCTTTGGCCTTTGTCGGTCAGCACAGACATTTCTAGTATCTGTCTTAGACAATTTTCACAATACTTTAGTCTCCCTCCCTTTATTGATTGAATGATTGATTGAATAGATGCACATCGATATGATAGATAGTATTTAACATAAAACTAGCCTAGCATGAAAAGCAGCCCCTATGTAAGGTGGGATTTTGGCCTGTCCAGCCACAGAGGTCCTGACCTTCTTGATCAAACAATCAGAATAATATTTTTTTTTACTGTTCAATTAACAATATTTTAATAATACTTTGACATAATTTGCTGAATTGATGTTTAATTCATTGTATTTTTTCCTATGAGGAAAAACGCTTATAAATCATACTAAATTATGTATTATTGAAAATGTAAAAATGTAGTTTTCTGTAAGGGTTGTGTTTAGGAGTAGGGTTGGGGTTATGGAAACCCACTGTGTGTGTGTGTGTGTGTGTAGATTAAATTAAGTAGATTAAAATATTTTATTTATTAGAGAATAAATCAATGAATAGTTACACAAATTAATGTTTTAAGCTTAAATTTAGTCATTTTTATTTATTTATTTACATATCCAACACTACTAACCCTTCCAAAAATTGTAAAGCCCATATAAAATAAATGGTTTATGTAACATTTCCTGAAACTTAAGCACCTTCTTTCACTGACCATTTGTTGAAAAGAAAAAATACTTTTTAAGGAGTTTTAGACATGATTTTGTACCCTATTAATGGAAAGGGCCTCAAATGTGCAGCCTTTGATATGATTCTTACAGGAGCCTCGTACTGTTTCAATTGTGGAAATGGTTTATATTTGAGAAAGGGGCACCATTAACCTTTGGTTTGAAATTAAAGAGTCTCTTGCTGAGCTGTGGCACTGTGGAGAAAGTTGAGCTGACCTGTAAGTCTCATGCTTGCAGATGCAGTCGGGCTGACTAGTGAGTTTCTGTGTTCAAACCTGCGGTTACGAGAGAGAGTTCAGCTGTCACAGCACATTGAAATAGGAAGTGAGGTAGGTTATGAATGTGTCTTGGCTTGGCCAGGTCCACTGAGAACGGCAAACCAAAACCTGTGAACTGTGAAGGCCATGGATAGGATGTCGATGTGCTTTTGGACAGAATTTAAGATCAGCAGACTTTAAGCTCTGTCCCGTAAGCTTCACAGGTTAGGCACTCCTTGGTAAAAAAAGTGAAAGATTGGTTGATGTTTCAATCAATAAACTATCTGCCACATTTAATCAGAGTACAGGACAGTTGGTCATAAATATGTCTGAGGTCAGATTCTTTAGATAAATAGTCTAAATAGTAATATGTATTATTAATAGTATAATATTAATGGTAAATAGTAGTGTTATGTTGTAAAGCTTTCTATTTGAAACAACCCAATAAATTCATTAAACATCTTACCTTTAGAGGTTATCATAACTTTAAAAAGTTTATTATTATGTTTTTTTAAGAATTTTTTTTCAATAATTTGAATTCTTCTAAAAACGTCTTAAAACGTTTTTTTTTTTCGTCTTAAAAATCGAAATCGTAAGAAAAGTTAAGAATTCTATGTATTTATTTTATGTATTAAAATATAAAATGTTTGTTTGTTTTATTTATTTATTATTTTATTCTCCTCCAAATTAAATTCTGTCTTAATTTACTCAATCTCATGTTATTCCAAACCTGTATGATTTCCTTTCTTCTGTGATAATCGGGATATTTCACTTTAATAAACCTGTGCAACTGGTTTCCACTGTGGAACACAAAAGAAGATAAATGGAAAAATGTTTTTTTTTAACAGTTTTTGCCCATGTGATGACAGTCAGGGGGTCCAATACAACACTGGACCCAATTGACTAATTTTACAGTGAAAAAAAAATGTTCCAGAGAAGAAAGGAAGTCATACAGGTTTGGAATGATATTCTTTTTTTTTTTTTTTGTCAATGATGACAGATTTTCAGTTTTGGGGAACTATCCCTTTAAGAATCATGAATTACCCCCGTTCCAAATCTCAAACCGTGTCAAGCACTCAAGAGAATGCAGGAACAGACAGCAGACAGACCGAAGTAATCTGACATCCTCAATATCCCCACTGTTAAACCCCAACTTGATGCCATCAACACCCTCTTCTCCCAGCCAGTCTCTCCCATGCACCTGATCAAACCTGTGTAAATATAAATATTTGGTGCGAGTAACATGAGGATGAAATTATCATTCCTTCCTGCAGTAAATTAAAGCAAACAGCTGCAGCTGTCTTGGGGAATGACTGGTTAAACAAACGCTGAGGCACTGAGCCCTACCTAGGCTTTGGCACCCTTACCTCATCGCCCAGGCGTAACTTGTATGGAGTCAGTAACTCTACCCAGTGACCCGTCCGACAGACAGCCATGTAGGAAGATCCTCCTGGCTCTTATTGTAAGCATCGAGTGAGACCATGCACCTCTGACCAGGCTGCTTGTCTAAACCCAAAAACTGAACCCAAAGATTTTGTGATTTTTTCCACAAAGTACTGAAACAAGGCCTAAAATAACATTTCACCTCTAAGGTTTTACATGATGGGCTTTACTTTTGCTTTTATTTTTTTTAGTTTTGGACCGGTGTTAGGGGTTATTTTCTATTTAGCCGAGACGAACTTTCATGTGCTATGTCCCGTGCCAGGCATCACTGATCAGGCCAGCACATTTATGTATGCCAGTGTCACTCAGTATTACAACTACTAGCAGTAATGCTGACTGGCGAAGGACTTTGAAATCCAATCGAGCACATTGGTAAAGCCAACATAAACGGGAGCGTGAAGAGAAAATAAATGCTCTATAAGGTATCCAAAAATGAGTAAATGAGTAAAGAACATGGAGTAAAGAACTCTGTCTATAAGAGGGGATGAAAACATTATGCAATGTGTAAAGGCCCCGATACTCACGGTGGTATTTTTCGTTCTTCGCTTAGGGGGAAAAGAAGTTTGAAATACGTGACCAGCGGTAAAATGTAAGTGAACATCATGACGCTGCCCATGCCGTTGAGCGCGGCGTTTAGATGAATATGTAAATATGTGCTGCGGCCTTTCCTCTCAATAACAAAATAACACACAACAAAAATGACAGCGGTGAGAAAACAGCCGTTAAGAAAGCATCTGATCATGGCGATGTGGATTTTACTACCGTAAAGTCATGACTCGTTTATTTATATAGCACTTTGTACAATAGATTGTTTAAAAGCAAGCAGCTTTACAGTATTATACATGAAAAACAGTGTCAGTGTCTCAATGTGTTCAATTAGAATTGTTACTTCAGTTTCTACTATAAAGTGTGTTCATGGTTTTACTCGCGTCTGACCTCGACGGACTGAACAGAAGAAATGAACCGGAGAAGATTTCCACCTCAAAGAAGGCGGAGCCTTAAAGCACACCCACCTATTACGTAATCCCCACGGACCAATGGTTGTTCGTAGGTGTTTACCAGCCAGAGCGTACTTTTCCTGAAAGTTTGCTTCGGCAAGCTGTTTCGAACTCCAGAAACGAACTTCATTTTGGCCTGATTTTGTTCGAAATGACATTCGCTCCAGTTCACTCTTCGATTTTGTTAGAAATATGTTTAATAATATAATATATAAGGGTTTTTTATAAGGATTGTTTGATCCAAAATCAGTGAATCAATGATCTTTCTTTCTTTCTTTGCAGTTTGGAAGCTCGTGATCTGAGAGGCTGATGACAATGCTGACAGTGCTGTGTGTCCTGCTAACGCTGGGGAATCATGTCCTGGGTGCAGGTTACGCCCCCTTGCCTCAGATGAAATACGTGCAGCCCATGATGAAGGGGCCTGTTGGGCCACCCTTCAGAGAAGGCAAGGGCCAGTATCTTGGTAAGTGTTGTTAAGTCTATCCACTATTACATCTATCTAGATGTGTCAGAATAAGACACTTGTTTTTTTTTTTTTTTTAAAGCATGAACATGCCTAAAAATATGTGTGCACTCAACTGCACCACATATCTTATTTTTATATAAGATTAGTTCTGGTCTGACAGCCCTGAGACTTTTTACTATTTGTATCACTCAGCGTGAATGTGTTAGTTCTGGACAGACTGTCAGTCTGTGCATTTGTGGCAATTTTTCAGTGACTTTTTCTGCAGGTTACATCATTACACCACTAGGTGGCGCCAAGTGTCTTTATGAGTGACTTCAATAATTCATTAGACTGATTTCTTAGAAATACTGATTTATTCATGAACAAAACAAGTGACTGTCTTTATGATTAATTTAAAAACAATGACTCTTGTTTCGTTCTTGAATGAATTTGTCTGGTTTTCAGGAGGTTAGTGAATAAGACTTTTGCATCGAAATACCATTTAATTAAAAGCTGAATTATATTTTTTTTTTTGCAACAGTTTATTGTATTCACTTTTTACAGTCCTGACAAACTGAGATTCTTCAGGCAGAATAGAGTCAGGGAGCCAGAAGTTTGTCAGACTGAGAGAATTGGAGATGAACAATGAGAGGGAACAAGAGCGGTTTGCCGTTCACTGACTCCTTTCTCCTCTCTGATATACGAGAGGGCATTGTGAGTGTGTCAGAGGAGGAGAAAGAGGGACAGAGTGGGGTGAAGTCACCTCTCTTCGGAGCAGTATATCACAGATCCATATAGTCTGAACCTGAAGGGAATCAAAGGGTGTGTCAAAACAGTGTCAGAAACAAGTAAGAGAGCCTTGGGCTGATGAGAAATCCAGAGGAGGTGTCAGATGGAAAGCTCTTTGTTGTGATGTGCTAAAGTCACAGGTAAAGGGAGGATGAATACAGGAAAGAAAAGAGTACAGAGTAAGATAGTTGTGTAAGGTTCTGAAGTGTCAAGATGGTATGTGACTGGTTTACCTGCTTCTGATAGTTCAGGTCTTTGGGAGAGTTTAAACAAAGAGGAACATTCGGTCATCATTTACTCACCCTCATGTTGTTTGGAACACAAAAGAAGATATTTTGAAGAATGTGTTTTTATCCATACTATATATGGTAATAAAAGTCCAGTGGACAAAAACAGTTGAAAATTCTCCTTTGTGTGACTATTCTCAGAAAGATGTTTGGATTTACATGGGGGTGAGTAAATTATGACAGAATTTTTAGTTTTTGGTGAACTATCCCTTTGAGGTCAATTGGAATAGTTCTGGACTCACCTATCTGATTTACATGGTCAATTGTCATAGACAGACTAGTATCTATCAGACAAACATTTTTTTTTAAAAGAGTTGCACACTAAAGTGCTATAAATAGAATAACTTGAATGCTAAATTAGCAAAATCAGTGAACTAAATGTGATTATAGATATAGACAGTGTTGTCTGTGTACATTTCTCTGCTGATTGTTATTGAGGTCTTGGCATGCATGTGGTATACTGATAAAGATTGCTTGTGATTGGCCTTTTTGGAATGATTGATTCTCTTAGCATATGGTAACTTTTTTAATTACTTTAAAAAGTCAGTTTTGTGCGTCTGTATGTGTGTATTTGACTTATGTAGTGCAAGTTACAGGGTTTTTTAAATAGTTTTTCTTTAAAAAGTACCAAAATGTAGCATGGTATTTGGACATGTATCATGGTAATACAGTTCTATTCAATTACTTCAATGCTTTTGCACTGCATCAAGGAACATGTAATGAAAACTGCCATTAATGTACTTAAAGTTTGGAGAATTAAAACTAACTAAAGTGATGTGTATAGGAGACCTTCATGATCAGAGGACTCAAGAAACCTCTAAAGAAAAGCTGTGTGCTCACTGCCATCTAGTGGACAATGGAAGACATGCACTTATGCTCTGACAGGTTTTTTGAAAGAACGAGTTTGTTGAGAAGTGCCTGTCATATATTACTTAATGCTTATCCTGTTGAAACCTAATGCAATTTTTCATAAAAAAAAAAAAAAAAAACTTTTTAAATAAAACATGCTCTGGGTGTATAGATAACTAATAAGAAACAAAAAGGGTGTAATTGTGGAACTGAGTTAGAGGGGGACCTACGTAAATGTAGTAAAGTGAATATAATTTACAGAACAAGTAATGTAACAACTCATGTAAAATGTAGTGTAAAGATCTAAATCATTCCTCCTAACCTAGGCCTATGCTATAAATTATTGTACCACTTGAGGGCGCTTCATAATTAGAATACACCTTTCTAATACTCTTACAGATGAAAAACTCTTTCTCTCTCCCTCTCCCTCTCTCTCTCTCTCTCTCTCTCTCTCTCACACACACTCTCAGAATTGAGTCACTTTGACCTTTGAATATGTCAGGAGTCAGCACACTGTAAGATCAGTGAAATGGACAATTTTACAGGCTAAATTTAATATACTGTTAAGTGTGAACTCATTTTTCAAAACATTTGTTGAGAACTGAAGGGAATGTAACTTTACTGTGTTTTCCTGACTTGCGTAGTTTGATGGTTCTTTGTCCAAACATGGCTGGCAAATATCGTCACTGCAGATCCCTTGCTGAAATTCCAGTGAGGTCAAATGCTGTTGAGAAGTTTGTCCTTGTCCTTTGTTTATGTTTTGTCCATAAACACATTCATTTTTCCAGTAGGCCTTCATTGCATACCTGCGTAGCTGCCACTTAGAGGACACTTGAGCGTGATGTGGAGTAAAACACAATGCATATTTGTAGTCCTACTAGTGCTTTAGGGTTCCCTCCAAACAATAATTTATGTGATGGTTAAGAGTCATTAACAATAAATTCTTACGTTGACAAACTCTTTTTCTATGATCGTAGGTATGAAGTTTAATTATGGTCTCTATTTTTTGTTTTCTTCTTTTTATTGCAGAGTTTCCACCCATAATGGACGTAAAAGGAGAACCAGGTCCTCAAGGGAAACCAGGACCAAGGGGACAACCTGGGCCTCCTGGATTACCAGGGAAACCAGGTATAGGAAAACCAGGTCTCAATGGTCAGACAGGTCCTCAAGGCCCTTCAGGATTCCCTGGGATTGGAAAACCAGGACTACCAGGTTTACCAGGAAAATTAGGACCTAAAGGACTTCCAGGACTCAATGGCGAGGTTGGGCCTCGTGGAGAGCCAGGTTCACGGGGACTTCCAGGTCAGCCAGGACCACCTGGGCCAGCAGGTCTGTCGTTGAATGGTAAACCAGGTTTACCTGGGACTAGAGGCCTGCCAGGGTCAAGAGGTGATATAGGGCCTAAAGGTGGACGTGGTATTCCTGGTGAACAAGGACTTAAAGGGGAAAATGGCAATGGAAAGCCGGGTCCAATAGGTCCCAGGGGACCCAGTGGGCTTCAAGGACCTCCAGGAGCTCCAGGTGTCCCTGGGTTGGGTAAATCAGGGATTGATGGGCTGCCCGGGCCTGTGGGGCCAAAAGGAGATAAAGGAGCTACAGGAGATCATGGTGTCCCAGGGGAACCTGGTCCCTCTGGGTTACAAGGGCAGCCGGGGGCACCTGGTTTGGGAAACCCTGGACTTGATGGTGTTCCAGGTATTCCAGGCTCGTTGGGCCCAAAAGGTGACGCTGGCCCCAGAGGAACTCCTGGCTTTCCTGGACCCCCTGGCTATGGTAAACCAGGGCTTGTAGGACAAAAAGGAGACAGAGGGCCTGGTGGATTACAAGGAGCCCCTGGTGACAAAGGAGAACCTGGGATGGAAGGTCTTCCAGGAGATATAGGGCAATCTGGACAGCCAGGCCTTCCAGGTCCACAAGGTCCTTTGGGTCTTCCAGGGAAACATGGGATGCCTGGTCTAAAGGGAGATAATGGCCCACAAGGACCTCCAGGCTTGCCGGGGCTTAGAGGCGATCAGGGTCCCAGTGGGCTCGCAGGAAAGCCTGGCTTCCCAGGGGACAAGGGCCCTCCTGGTCTCAACGGGGCCACAGGCAAACCTGGACCTAAAGGTGAATCGGGTCACATCGGTCTGCCAGGTAATCCTGGTTTGATTGGGGGACCAGGTCCAAAAGGCGAGAATGGTTTTCCAGGCCCCCCTGGGCAACGTGGCAATTCAGGGATTCCTGGACTCCCAGGCCCCACTGGTCATATGGGACCTCAGGGTGTTCCAGGGTTGAAAGGTGAACAAGGTCCACCAGGGCCCCAAGGAATTGGAAAACCTGGAGACAAGGGGATGTCTGGTCCACAGGGACCTCCAGGAAAACCTGGCTCCCCTGGACTTACTGGTATGCAGGGCCCTCCGGGTCCACCTGGACCTCCTGGCCCCCCCAGCCCCTCTAACGGTGATCAGTTGGCAGTTCAAGGGCCAACTATTTTAGGAGAATCCATTTCAAAACCAAATGGTGAGAAGCCGCATTATGGTAAGGCCGAGCTCTCTGCCTCCGTGGCTCCTGCTTTTACCGCCATTTTGACAACACCATTTCCACCATCTGGAATGCCAATCAAATTCGACAGAACTCTGTACAACGGGCAAAATGCTTACAACCCTGCCACAGGCATCTTCACAAGCCCACTGCCTGGAGTCTACTATTTTGCTTATCATGTACATGTAAAGGGAACCAGCCTGTGGGTGGCACTGTATAAAAACAATGTGCCAGCTACATACACCTATGATGAATACAAAAAGGGCTATATGGACCAGGCTTCAGGTAGTGCGGTACTGGAGCTGAAGGAGAATGACCAGGTTTGGGTGCAAATGCCCTCTGACCAAGCAAACGGGCTCTACTCCACTGAGTACATCCATTCGTCCTTCTCAGGGTTCCTCCTGTGCCCCACATAACGGTCCGTCTCAGCGGAGAATTGCTTGCTCAAGTGCCCTGCAGTAACATCTGTAATAACAGCAAAGAAGATGACAAGAAAGACTTACTGAACGACGGAAAGGCTGAGTTTCGAAGCAGAGGAAGGAGAATTCATGCTGTCTCTGTTTTAACCCTCTCTTTCAAATATCTGATTTGATCATTGTTTTACTTTTAAGTGTTTTTATTTCCTGCCTATATGATAATTTTATTATAACTGTTATGCTATTTTTGTTGATGTTGATATAATGGTGTTATTTTATTGATGTTGTTGTAGTTGTTGTGTATCGCAATCAGACTATTAAGTACTTTGCAATGTGTAGGTAACCATTTAAAGACTTACCCGTGTGACTGCACACATTGCCGAATGTTCTGACTCCCATTGATCTCCATCACGTTGACTCTGGGGTTGTATGTTCCCCTAGTTGCAGTCAAATTCACCTATATCTTTTCCTTAATATAACACAGGCTACTTGATTTGTGCCACATTGCAGATTTTAGAATGCAGACATTCTATACAACATTGTTATTGTATTTGTATGTTTAAATACATTCGTAATTTAAAGAATAATCCTCAGTTCCATATTGTTTTTTTTTTCTTTTAAATGCCAGACAGGTAATTATCTATCTGCGTTAGTCATTAGGTATATATGTTTTGTTTGATTAACTGTTAAAGCAAAAATGATGTGCTAATCTGTCTGTTTCTGTGACAACTACGTTGTGTTTGAGAGTCTTTGAGAAGAAAATTACTTGATTTACTGAGTTCATTGCTCAAAACATGCCAAGTTTGAATCATGAAGGCCTCAAGAGGACGGCTGTATGACAGTGCCTGCATTACAAGAAAACAAAACAAAAACAAATGGAATTTCTGTGACACTAATTTCATACTTTAAAAATCATGACATGTCAAAGCTAATACATAATGAATAGCTTCTCATCAAAATCTTAGGATAGCCTACATTGGTGAGTAAGGGACTACTAATAGATTGAGAGTATGAAAATATAATTCTGACTTTTTTTGTTGTTGTAATAAATCAATTCTCCACCACAAATCCAAACTACTGCGTTGTGTACTCTAAAGGTTTTACATCCTATGACTCTTTTTCTCATTGCTGCTTTTACAATGACACATTTGACTGATTGTTTTGTATCACATTCATTTTCCCATTGATTGGACTGATGACTTGTAATGTCACAGTCATGATTGACTCTATATGCGTTAATGCATGTCCTAAGATGATACATTTATGAAGTTACATGATTTGGATACATCACACTGTGATAGCACTGCTCCTGTGGTGTTTATGAAAGGTTACAAACAAAGAAATTGTTTCTTGCACATTTACTGAAGTGACTGAAAAAAGTCCCTCTTGAAAGAAATTCTCTTGCTTCTGTTTGTTTGACCAATATGTAGGATGATGAAACCTGAAACACTAAAGGAGTGTCTACTTAAACGCACTCACTCACTCAACTTGTCCTTTTCCGTACACGGTTACATGACATTTGTTTCTTCAAATGGAAATTATTCACTTTCGAATGACGTTTTGGCACCAGATCTTTCCTATTTCAGCATGTATTTGATGACCTTTTTATTGTACAGTATATTAACACTGTGACCATTATTTTCTATGATGAGTGTATATTGTTTGTGTGCAATGGATTGAAGATTTAAAACATTTGTTGTGCTGCAAAATCTCAAATCTGCTTAGACTATGTGGCTTACTTTTGTCGTTCAAACTAAGCAAACTAGGAAAAAAGCCTTGATTCTGTTCCACGGGATATTTGTTCATTATCAATCAAATTAAAAGAAACAACCAATCCCATTTGCACATGAACTTAATGAAGGCATATTTATACATTTGTGATAGATGTCCAAGCACCGAAACCGTGAACGTACAAATAACCTTATATTGAACAGCATCGAGGAGTTTGTAATACACACTACCATTGTTTTTCTTTCTTTTATAATGTATCTATCAATCTATAGGAATTTTTGTCTTATTGCATTCACTTTATGCAATCCATTTTGGGTATTAAATGCACTCTTTGATTGAACATATTTTGTCAGCTCGTACAAAATCTACAAGTACTTGACAGTACAGATGCAACATCAATAAAGACTTTCTTGATCAAGGGTGTTTTTTCTTTTCTCCCTAATAAGACCAAAGAACCTAGTAATCATAGATGGAATGTTGACAAGTCGAATTCGGATATTTTATCTCATAAATTCAGTTCATATACTATACAATTTAATCAGCACATTCGGTATGTTCAAAAACATCCTTGAAGATGTTCCGCTTCAGACATCCACCTATCTAAAGAAAATATGTGACTAACACTAGGGGGAGTTTACTTCCATTCCAGTGTCGCTTAAAAGGATCACCTGTGATAACTATGTAACTAAGCATACATACATCATGGTCTACATTTTTCTAATATTCAAATCAGTTCCAAATCTAATATTTTAATAATAACATATAAGTCATATTTCATTTTCCACAAAGTGTTGGAATAAAGTGTTCTCAAATATATTATCTTGGCTTAATTAAACCATGTTTAATGTTCCACAAAGTATTGGAATAAAGTGTTTGCAAATACATATTGTTGGATTAAATAGACAATATATAATTTTCCACAAAGTATTGGAAATTGGAATATGGTCCTCAAATAATTGCACATATTAGGAGAGGCTTAATGCGTTTAAAACTTTTCAACTTTTTTTCTTAATAGAAAATCGTCAATATACGTCTCCAGTTCTTTATTAGTTTAGTTTATTTGCCAGACTCATGTCCAAAAACCACGCAAGACAAGACAAATAACAACAAACAAAACAAACAAAAAAAACAAATACAAGAATTAAAATGCAATTTATTGAAAGACAAAACAGTTTTTTTTTTAATACAGGAAACTTACATTTGTGAACATTAAAATTTTCCATTAAAAGAATAAAATGTATTATATTAACCTGACTGCGCTTGGCTTGTCTGTACAGTTCTCCAAGCGTCCAAATAATAATTATTTCCAATAAGACACATATTGACCATCAATATTCTCTAATAGCCTATAATCACAAACATTTAGCCAAAACGGTCTTACGAATGGGCAGTACCCAAACAAATCAACCAGGGAAACTGTCACAAACAGTGCAAATAAATTCAATATCACCTTTACATTTTACAAAGCAATGTTTCGATGGGTAAATCAAATCCTCAAGTCCTCTTAAAACGTCAACAGGCTGGCTCTTGCGCAAAGATGACGCAGTCACTGACTCCTCCCCTTCAGTTCATCTCAATTCAGTTTCACTGAGGACGACAAACACGACTTCACCCTCAAAGCGGTTACGGCTCTACGTGCACTTTCTCTGGGGATTGCCAAGGGATTTCAATGTTTGGCCCGTTCTTTGTAAGTATCGCCTATTACCACTAGCTTTCTGTCTTCTAATATGGCAGAAAGATGTTAAAAAGGACTACCCGAGACGTTTTTTTGCCTGTTTCTAGTGTAGCTGTGAAAGCTCGCGTTCAGCCGGTGAAGGAGCTCGCGAGTGTGGCAGCCATTTGCCCGCGTACGTTTGAACGGAAACTCCATAATCGTCTTTTATTTGTTTTTACGGTTGGACGGTTTTAACCGGGTCAAGGACGGTTTGTCGCTCATTCCTATATATGTTGATTTATGAAGGGTCTGGAGTTCTCCTCAGGCTGTCTAGCTGTCCTGTACTGCGCTGGCTAGCCGCTTGCTAGCGGTCTCATCATCAGCCAGAGACCATGTCAAGAAGTTACTCGGACAGTTTATTTGCCGCTACACTTTTAACTCTATGTTTAGATATCTGGTTAATTCCGGGTCTGAACATAATATTTAAGGATTACTTACTAATTTTTCACTATTTGACCGGCTGAGAGGGTCCGAGAGGGTGCGATTGAATTGTTAGCCTGGGAGCTAACGTTAATGTTATTAACTGTCAGTTCAGTCAGATAACACTTTATCGTCAAACCCCAGAATGTTCCTGATTTCAGTGGCTCAATTGTTATGCAAAGCGTGGAAGATTAGAGTCCTTAATTTTAGATTTTTTTTTACTGTAAGTTACTACAAACCTTGCCAATTCACGTGTGTGTGAGTTGGTTTCTTCATATTCATGTTTGCTTTATTTTAACTGTGAGTCTGACATATGGTAAATCTTTAAAGCCGTGTCTTTGATCATTCCTGTATCCAGCACCTGGTTAAACTGTAAGCTGATGATCCAGCATGAGACCTGAACTGCGCAGTAAACTAACTGTTAGCTGCTAATCCGAAAGTTTTTAAATGCCAAGCTTGTAGAACAGAACAGGTATGATGACGTATGGGGAAACTGAATTAAACCGGTATTTGATATGATCCAAGATTGTTGTATTTAGGTGCCATGTGTAGTATTTGATGAGTCACCTGGCTTCATGCTCCACCTGTTCTCAACCTGCTCATGTGTGTAATCGATACAAGGAAACTGTACAGGTCTTGGTAAGTGGTTTATGCATTGTCTTTGAGACTGGACATCGGAAGTTGTAAAATTCCCAAGTGGGAACAAGTCAGGACATGTTTTAGAGGTTGATGTATCTGTCTAATATAAGCTGAGAAATTTCAATAACATGACAAGTTTTTTTTTTTTTTTTTTTTTTTTGCTGTTACATGGTGAAGCTTAGTTGAGACAGTACATTAGTTGTTTGAAATCCTGCAACTGACAAGGTTGCTTTTTATCGCTTTGACCTTGCCTTATCTACATATTTATTGGACAGGTAACTTATAGGCCTCTGAATAACACTGTGACATTTATTTCACAATTTAATCAACCTTATACCTATATGGGCATTTCATTGATAGTTTGACAGAATTTTTGTTTACTACATTGGGACCGCTTTAATTAAATGTGAGGACAAAAACTTCAGTAAACAGAAAATATCTATCTATACTTTTAATATTTTTTATTGAAATATTACATATAAAAACTTGCAGATCTATTTCTGTAACTAGGCTACATGTTATCACATTAACAGCCAGTCAGTGTTTAACTTTACACTGGTTTAGGCCTAAGTTTCATGAATCTGGAGGGAGTACACAACACTTTAAGTAGGAATGGGACGGTATGAAAATTTAACATCACGATTATAGTGACCAAAATTATCATGATTATCAATATTATCACGGTTTTGTTAAAACGAGATTAAAGTGTTCAAATAAAGATTGATGCTTACACTGAAAACATTTCAACAAGTTTTATATTTGAAAAATCAGCAAACAACAAATAAAACAAGCAGCTCTATGCACTTTTTAAAGCAAAATTCTATTCTGTGGCATTTCCTTCTTTATAATGACCGTTGTCAATAGCAACGCAACACATCCATGTATCACAATGGAAGCGCTTGTTTCATTCAAATACAACTTGCCGTCTTGCGTTTCCGTTTTTGATTGTAAACAAACAAATTATTTCATTTTCAATGCAGAGTTTGATAATATTGTTGTGATCATCTTGTCTGGACGATTGTTTTGTAGTCTGTACAAAATGGATTTATAAACGGGTGAGATTTAAAATATTAATCTCAATTCAATATGTCCCCTTAATTATGTGTTAAAAAAATCGGGGTAATGAGTAGGCTATAATGAATATACATTACTATACATTAAATGTCACTCTTAATACTCTTGTTTGGACTTTCACGTTCGTCTTTGGCTCAAAGCCACTTGCTGCGAACTTTTCTTCGCGGAAGCTTCACGTATATTTGAAAGAGATACAAAAGAGAGATTTTATCTCAACTATATTTTGTGCCCAATTATTTCCCAGACGTAGTTTTGGAATTGAGGTCTAAGTTAACTTTCCTTGCGTTCGCTGTAACAGTGGGTGATGGTCACACAAGACGACTCGGCAGATTTGAAGCGTTTCTATTGCAGCGACTTTTTATGTGCATGTTCTGCAGACAGGGTGACCATCCTCGGTTAAGTTTCCCTCAAGACTTTTGTAAAAAGCCAAAATATGACCACACCTCAGATTTGGTCCTCTTAAAAGGCTGACAAATCTCCCGAGCACGGTCACATGCCTTCCGCCATTCCTTCTCAAATAAAAAACAAAACATCATTGCCAGCTGTGCCTGCGTCAGACTGTTGCTGGCTGGACAGGATTTATCGAGTTATTAAAATCGCGATAATCAAACACGGTTTTAATGATAATTAAATTTTGAACGATATTACTAACCGTCAGCACATTTTATCGTGGTTTATAGTGAAACCGGTAATCGTCCCATCCCTAACTTTAAGTAATAATAAGTTTCTGCTGTATCTGTTACATTTGCAGGTGTTGATTCAGTTTCAGTAACGTTTCATGCGTAGACTTGAGGCCATCAAAAGATTTGCCTTTACTTTTTTTTTTTCTAAAACAAGTTGGAAAGTGAGTAAAACATTTGCCTTAATGGAGAGATGTTTGTTCATTCCTCAATTCAATGGAACTGTGTGAATTTCATCCTTATTCTATTTTCTTATGAGGTGCTAAATAAGTGCTTTTATGCACTCATATCTGTGTTCAGTCAGGACAGTGGATCCTCTCTGTGATGATTTCTGGCATCACTGTGCTTTGTATGTCCACACATCTCTGTCCCATATTATACATAATTGAATGCATCATCATGACTTGTTGCTGTAGAATTTATGCTGCTCAAAGAAGATAGACATAATCAGCATGGTGCTGCTTTGTGCTAGTTTTGACAAGTCTGCTGAAACCTTTCTCATTGTTAACTAACATTAAGACTATCATATGAAGGCCTGATAACCTTTCAAAACTCTAAAGTACAAGCATGTCTTTTTTTAGGCCTGTTCGGACCATATTTATAGCTTGTTTGGCATTTTGGGCTGTCAGTAGCCACTCTTACTGGGCAGCATGTTAAATGTCACTGGTAGCAGTAGTTCACAGCTTGTTAACAAACATGGATCGAGTTGTGCCTCACAGCAGGCTTTCTTAAAACATCTACACAACTGGCAACAGCATGACTCCCATTCCTCCCACTGTCTTTTCAGCTTGTCTGCTTAAATATTGAAGGACTGTTGTACCCTTTGAGCCAGCATTGCAAGCCCAGCAGGAGCGCGGCTAACCCTTGATGAACGAGTGTGGTGCTCGCCAC